CAGCCTGTATTGATACTGGGGGTTACCCCAACCCAGGTGCAGGACCTTGCACTTGGCCTTGTTGAACCTCATGAGGTTCTCACAGGCCCACCTCTCCAGCCTGTCCAGGTCAGAAATATTAGGACAGAGAGATCCGAGAGAAATTCAGGTTTTAATACTTACAAACACGCCGCCAAAATCCCTGGCCGGAGTGGCGGTGAAGATGTAGCGGATGTCTCCAGGGCTCAGCACTTGGAAATACAAATATTCATGGATGCGGAAACCTGGGTGTGCACAGAGGGAGGTGAGAGGCAGAGAAAACAAACGGGAAAATTCTTGAAAAAAAGGGAAAATACCCAGGTACTGCTCCTGAGCTGCACCACGCTGAAGGGAACGCTCCCTTCGGCAATGCCAGCTCCTGCCTGGGGCTGAGGTCCCAAAATGCCTGGGGTGCTGTGGGGGGAGATGCATCAGCACCCAGGAGCGGAGTGGAAAGGGGGGAAAGGCACCGGGATCGGGGTGCACAAGGGGAAGGGGAAAATGCAGCCGGACCCTGGAGGGGATAGGGGTGATGCGCACCTGGATTGGGGAGCATGGAGGGGAAACACGCTTGGACTGAGGCACCCTGGAGAGAAGCGCACCTGGGACGGGGTGCTGAGGGGAACACAATGGGTTTGGGGTGCGTGGAGGGGAAATGCACCCGGACTGGGGTGTGGGAGGGGAAATGCAATGGGGTTGGGGTGCAGGGAAGGGAAATGCAATGGGGTTGGGGTGCATGGAGGGGAAATGCACCCAGACTGGGGTGTGGGAGGGGAAATGCAATGGGTTTGGGGTGCAGGGAGGGGAAATGCAATGGGTTTGGGGTGCAGGGAGGGGAAATGCACCCGGATTGGGGTGCAGGAGGGGAAATGCAATGGGGTTGGGGTGTGGGAGGGGAAACACACCTGGTTTGGGGTGCAGGAGGGGAAACGCACCTGGATTGGGGTGTGGGAGGGGAAATGCAATGGGGTTGGGGTGCAGTGATGGGAAACACACCCGGATTGGGGTGCGGGAGGTGAAACCCGCCTGAATCGCGATGCATGGAGGGGCAATGCACCCAAATTGGGGTGCAGTGATGGGAGACGCACCCAGAAGGAGGTGCTGGATGGGGAAATGCAGCGGGGCCGGGGCGCACGGGGGGGAAATGCCGCCGGACCGCGGTGCACCGAGGGGAAACGCAGCCGTGGCG